TGGTCTTTATCTTTCTGGCTTACTTCGCTCTGTATAATGGGCTCCAGTTTCATCCATCTCATTAGAACTGATTCAAATGAATTCTTTTTAATGGCTGAGTAATATTCCATGGTGTATATGTACCACAGCTTCCTCATCCATTCGTCTGCTGATGGGCATCTAGGTTGCTTCCATGTCCTGGCTATTATAAACAGTGCTGCGATGAACACTGGGGTGCACGTGTCTCTTTCAGATCTGGTTTTGAGGAAGGCTTTCTTATCTCTCTGTGCTATTCTTTGGAACTCGGCATTCAAATGGGTATATCTTTCCTTTTTTCATTTGCCTTTTGCTTCTCTTCTTTTCTTATCTACTTGTAAGATCTCCTCAGACAACCATTTTGCCTTTCTGCATTTCTTTTTCTTGGGGATGGTCTTGATCCCTGCCTCCTGTACAATGTCACGAACCTCTGTCCATAGTTCTTCAGGCACTCTGTCTATCAGATCTTATCCCTTAAATCTATTTGTCACTTCTACTGTATAATCATAAGTGATTTGATTTAGGTCATACCTGAATGGTCTAGTGCTTTTCCCTACTTTCTTCAATGTAAGTCTGAATTTGGCAATAAGGAGTTCATGATCTTTCCTTAATATTTGGAAAATTTACTAGTGAACCCACCCAGGTCTGGTACTTTCCATTTTGAAAGGTTATTCATTACTGATTCAAATTCTTTAATAGATACGAGTCTATTCAGGGTATTTTTTCTGTTTGTTTGAGTTTTGGAAGATTGTGTCGTTCAAGGAATTGATCCACTTCATTAAATTATAAAATGTGTGGACATAGGATTATTCATGCATTGCGTGCATGCTCAGTCATGTCTGACTCTTTGCAACCCTATGGACTGTAGTCTATCAACTCCTCTGTCCATGGGATTTTTCCAGGCAAGAATACTAAAATGGTTTCCATTTCCTACTCCGGGGATCTTCCTAACCCAGGGATGGAACCCTCATCTCTTGCGTCTCCTGCATTGGCAGGTGGATTCTTTACCACTGTACCACCTGGGAAGCCCCTCAGAATTCATAATATTAATGTTTTATCCCTTCAGGGATCATGGCTTCTGTTTCATTTCTGATTTTAGTAATTTGTATCTTCTCTCTTTTTTTCTTGATTATTCTGGTAGAGATTTGTCCATTTTATTGATTTTTTTTTAAGAAAGCTCTTGATTTTGCTGACTTTTCTCTGTTATTTTCCTGTTTTGTTATTTCATTCATTGCTTTTTTTTTCTTCTGCTTGCGGTAGGCTTGTATCGGTCTTCTTTCTCTAGTTTTATAAGGTGGAAGCTTATATTACTGATTTTAGATCTTTCTTCTTTTCTAATATATGCGTGCAATGCCATAAATTTCTCTCCAGGAGCTGCTTTCACTCCATCTTGCAAATATTCATAGGTTGTATTTGCATTTTCATTTAACTCAAGATAATTTGTTTTATTTCTTGTGAGACTTCCTCTTTGACCCATCTGTTGTTTAGAAATGTGTTGTTTAATCTCCAAATATCTGGGGATTTTCCATCTATCTTTCTGGTAGTGGTTTCTAGTTTAATTCCAATGTGGTCTGAAAACAGTTCAGTTCAGTTCAGTCGCTCAGTCGTGTCTGACTCTTTGCCACCCCATGAACCACAGCACGCCAGGCCTCCCTGTCCATCACCAACTCCTGGAGTCCACCCAAACCCATGTCCATCGAGTTGGTGATGCCATCCAACCATCTCATCTTCTGTCATCCCCTTTTCCTCCTGCCTTCAATCTTTCCCAGCATCAGAGTCTTTTCAAATGAGTCAGCTCTTTGCATCAGGTAGCCAAAGTATTGGAGTTTCAGCTTCAACGTCAGTCCTTCCAGTGAACACCCAGGACTGATCTCCTTTAGAATGGACTGGTTGGATCTCCTTGCAGTCCAAGGGACTCTCAAGAGGCTTCTCCAACACCACAGTTCAGAAGCATTAATTCTTCGGCGCTCAGCTTTCTTCACAGCCCAACTCTCACATCCACACATGACCACTGGAAAAACCATAGCCTTGACTAGATGGACCTTTGTTGGCAAAGTAATGTCTCTGCTTTTTAACATGCTATCTAGGTTGGTCATAACTTTCCTTCCAAGGAGTAAGCATCTTTTAATTTCATGGCTGCAATCACCATCTGCAGTGATTTTGGAGCTCAGAAAAATAAAGTCAGCCACTGTTTCCGCTGTTTCCCCATCTATTTGCCATGACGTGATGGGACCGGATGCCATGATCTTAGTTTTCTGAGTGTTGAGCTTTAAGCCAACTTTTTCACTTTCCTCTTTCACTTTCATCAAGAGGCTCTTTAGTTCTTCACTTTCTGCCATAAGAGTGGTGTCATCTGCATATCTGAGGTTATTGATATTTCTCCCGGCAAACTTGATTCCAGCTTGTGCTTCCTCCAGCCCAGCATTTCTCATGAGGTACTCTGCATATAAGTTAAATAAGCAGGGTGACAATATACAGCCTTGACGGACTCCTTTTCCTATTTGGAACCAGTCTGTTGTTCCATGTCCAGTTCTAACTGTTGCTTCCTGACCTGCATACAGGTTTCTCAAGAGGAAGGTCAGGTGGTCTGGTATGCACATACTTTGCATAATTTCTATTCTCTTTACATTTGTTGGAGTATGTTTTGTGGCCCAGAATGTGGTCTGTTTGGTGAGTGTTCCACATGAGCTTGAGAAGGATGTGTGATTGGTTGATGGGTGAAGTTGTGTGGCTGTCTGTTAGATCCAAATGATTGATAGTGCTGTTCAGATCAACTTTATTCTTACTAATTCTCTGCCTGCTGGGTCTGCCCATTACTGACAGAGGGATGCTGTGGTCTCTAGCTGTCATGATGGATTCGTCTGTTTCTTCCTTCAGTTCTGTCAGTTTTTGTCTCCCATATTTTGATGCTTTATTGTTGGGCACATGTAACGAAGGACTGTTACATCATCTTAGAGAATCAATCCCCTTATCATAATATAACACCTCTCTTTATCCCTGATAACCTTCCTTGCTCTAGTCGGTTCTGTCTGAAATTAATGTAGCTACTCCTGCTTTCTTCTTGTGTTTCAACATTTAAATGTCCAAGTGATTGGTAGGAATTTGCAAAGTGGGGAAGGGCACGGCCATTTGAATCAGGCAAACCTGGGTGCAAAGCCAGGCGAGTCAAGCTGAGTGACGTGGGCACACCTCATCATTCCGTGCCTCCGTTTCCTCATCTAAAAAGTCAGGAACTGTCAGACCTACTGCATAGCGCAGAGAACTATATTCAATATCTTGTACTAACCGGTAATGGAAAAGAATATGAAAAAGGATATATGTTATATGTGTGTGTGTGAGTGTGTGTGATGTAATCACTTTGCTACACACCAGAAACTAACACAACATTGTAAATCAACTATCTGTGCTATGCTCAGTTGCTCAGTCATGTCCAGCTCTTTGCAACCCCATGGACGTAACCCACCAGGCCCCTCTGTCCGTGGGGATTCTCCAGGCAAGAATACTGGAGTGGACTGCCATACCCTCCTCCAGGGGCTTTTCTCAACCCAGGGATCGAACCCATGTCTCCCGCATTGCAGGTATACTCTTTGCCATCTAAGCCACCAGGGAAATGTTTAAATGAGGCAGTGCCCCTTTGGATTATTGTGAAGATGTGGGATATGTATATAAGTGGGATGTTAGTATAGATTTCTAAGTCCAAGTACTCTTTATGAAAGTTGAGTGAGGCACTCTGAGGAGAATTAACTTAGAAAATAACTGTGAAGTCTCAGGCTGGAGTGGATGGCTCATAGGCAGTGTGCTGAAAAGACAGAAAACTTCATACACACCCTGCAGCCCATAATCCAGGGCACCCAGGCAGGTGGGATGTGATATTTCCTCCTTGGTGCTGAGTTTTGCTCACTCTTCTCATTAAAGTGAAATTGCATAGGAGCCCTCTGCCCCCACTGCCAGTTCACTGTCTGAAATCCCTTTCTTTAGGGTGAAATGTGGTCACACCAGGGCCCCTACTGAAAACCAGATCATCTTCGGTTAGATAAATTCTGATTAGCTTTTAAGAAGCACTAGAAATAATCAATCACATGGGAAAACCAAGGCTTTTAAAAAGTAGTTATAAAACCTGTTGTGGGATTTTCCTGGTGGTCCCATGGTTAAAATTCTGATCCTCCAGTGCAGGGGGTGCAGGTTTGATCCCTGGTGGGGGAACTAGATCCCATATGCCATGTCCAAAATAAATAAATTAGTAGGATATAAATTAACAAAAAAGAAAAAGATGAGAAAATTTTATTTTAGAAATTTATTTATTTCATAAATAGAAAGATGGTAAACATAGGAAAAAGACTGGAAGGATGTGAATCGCTGTGTTCAGACAGTGCTTGCCTCTGGGGGACAAGAGTCTAAGTGATTTTAATGTCTTCTTTATGTTTTTCTCTAGCTCTCATTTCCTGCATTGTTAAGAAAAGCGTGTTCTTCTAAAAATGAATAGAACAAACAAATGAAAACAACAATCATTATAAAACCTCCCCTTAACTTTAACACTTGCAGTAAGTAGTTGAGTCACTTGCCAGCTGAGCTTTCTGGTTTGTGTTGGGCCATTTCTGCTATCTTGCCATTTGGGACAACCCAAAGTATACTCGCATGGGATCATAGAAATATAGACTGGCCAATTCCTGACAAGTTCCCCCAAGTTCCCTCTTGCCTCTTCTGTGGTGCCTAACTGTCTGTTCAACAACTTGGGCACCTATTCTGGGTCTGGTGTCAAACAGAGCCCATGGCCCTCTGTTCACTTGCTGTGTGGCCTTAGGCAAGTCACTTAACCTCTCTGAACTTCAGCATCCTCCTTAAAAGGAGGACTGCAGTGACCATCCAATCAGATGAAGCCATTAGCACATGGAGGCACCCAGCGTCAGTAGCACTAGTAAGGACTAAGGCCTCCCTCCTTATTCCTGTTTTCCCGGCTCTGACTGTCCCTCCTCCTCCCGTTTCAGTCTGCAGACATCGACAACCATCACGCGCTCATCGAATATAATGAGGCCGAGGGCAGCTTTGTTCTCCAGGACTTCAATTCCCGCAGCGGCACCTTTGTCAATGAGTGCCACATTCAGAACGTGGCTGTGAAGCTCTTACCGGGAGACCTCCTGAGGTTCGGGACTGGAGGGCTGACCTACGAACTGGTCATCGAAAACCCAGCTTCGGTGAGTCCAGGCCCCTGCGGGGTGGGGGTTGGGCGGCAGAGGTACCTTCCGTGCAGCTCGGGGCTCAGATGCGGCCAAAGGTGGAGCTGGTCCAAAGCGCATCACTTTGCCCTCAGCTACACACACAGGCAGCCACAGGACTCAATTCTGTGAAGGTCAGACCCATCAGGTGGGTCCCAGGGAGGAGCGAGTCCCGGCGCCCTCTACTGGGAATTTCTCAGAATTACAGGCAAGAGTTGCCTAGCAACCAGCCCAGTAGTAGTGTATTTTCCTGAAAAGTGAAGCTTGCAAGCAGGGATGGAAAGCAGGTGTGTGCTTTTGAAGATGCAGAGATGGATGCTTCGTTTTTAGGCAGATCAGTGCTCTACAACTTCCTAGCTTTGAGACCTCGGCCAGGGTTCTTTGCATGCCTGAGTCTGGGTGTTACCAACGGTGCAGGGCACTGAGAGAGTATAGAAAGGGTTATCAGCCTTGTTGGGAAGGCCAGAGGTCCCCAAGTGGCAGGAGGAAATAAACTGCGAGTGGCAGACATTTCTTTCCTTCTCTTTACAAAATTAAAACTCAGCATTCAAAAAACTAAGAACATGGCATCCAGTCCCATCACATCCTGGCAAATAGTTGGGGAAACAATGGAAACAGTGACAAACTTTATTTTCTTGGGCTCCAAAATCACTGCAGATGGTGACTGCAGCCATGAAATTAAAAGACACTTGCTCCTTGGAAGAAAAGCTATGACAAACCTAGACAGCGTATTAAAAAGCAGAGACATTACTTTGCCGATAAAAGTCCATCTAGTCAAAGCTATGGTTTTCCCAGTAGTTGTGTATGGATGTGAGAGTTAGATCATAAAGAAGGCTGAGTACCAAAGAACTGATGCTTTTGAACTGTGGTGTTGGAGAAGATTCTTGAGAGTCCCTTGGACTGCAAGGAGATCAAACCAGTCCATCGTAAAGAAAATCAATCCTGAATATTCATTGGAAGGACTGATGCTGAAGCTGAAACTGCAGTATTTTGGTCACCTGATGCAAAGAACTGACTCATTAGAAAAGACCCTGATGCTGGGAAAGATTGAAGGTGGGAGGAGAAGGGGACGACAGAGGATAAAGATGGTCGGATGGCATAACCGACTCAATGAAAATGAGTTTGAGCAAGCTCCTGGAGATGGTGAAGGACAGGGAAGCCTGGCGTGCTGCAGACCATGGGATCACAAAGAGTCGGACACAACTGATCAACTGAACAACAATACAAAATTAAAGGAGGTTTCTTCTAATCCTGTGTTTCATGGTGACACCTGGTTCTGCCTGAACTTAACTTTTCTCAAATCTTGAACTAACCAATGTGTTTTTCTTATGGAAATGTTTTTCTTAAGCTATGTTAATGAAGCTATATATTTGCTTTGGAATCTGCCTTTCTCCAAGATTCATGTCAATTGTTTGATGGCTGGAGATGACTCCCCTTGTTCCAATGCTATCTCAAAATGCATGTTATAGGAGAGGGGCTTGGTGCAACTCTCTCAGTCTTGAGGTGTTTCTTTTATCTGATTAGCTGTTTGCTAACAGGTATAAAATGCCTTGCCAAAAACTTGCAAGGGGGCACTGTCTCTGTCCCCTTCTGATGTCTGTTTCAGAAGCTTTCTCTATCCCTTTTATACTTTTGTTTGTTTGTTTAATTTTAATTGGAGGCTAATTACTTAACAATATTGTGATTTTTACCATACATTGATTCGAATTAGCCACGGGTGTACACGTACTCTGCTACACAAAAGCTCCAAGTGATCAAGTCTCGTCTCTGGTCCCAGGTTGAATTCCTCTCCTCTGGAGACAGTGAATCCCCAGTGTAACTCACCGCTCACAACCATAACCTTTCAGTATCTATGTGTAAAAAGTCAAAATTATTGTCTGGTGGAAACAGACACTCCACACCTGGTAACTGTCCTCACACCTTAGATCAGAAATGTTCCTGGATCAGGACCTAAAGGGTAGGCCCCGGGGTATGGCCCCAGGTTAATCAGAACGTAACCCCCAACTCGCCCATCAAAGCTCAGTAGGGAGACAGGATGCAGGGTGGTTAGCAACACAGGCCTGGGTCAGAACCCCAGCTCTGCCACTGGCCCACTCAGTGTGCTCTTGCACAAGCCACTGGACCCCTCAGAACCTCCATTTCCTCACCTACCAATGGGGCCAACGACAGTAATGTCTTTGCAGGCTTGTCTCAAGGACTGAAAGAGATGGTTATAACTAAAACCCCAGCCCAGTGCCCGGTCCTTGTGAGCACACAATTAACACCTGTTGTGCGTGTCCCAGAGAGACAGTGTGTTCATCTCACCCCCGCCACCAAGAGTGCTGCATGGACTGAGACCCCCAGGTGTAAAATCCTTTCCGGGATGAGACTAGATATAAATAAACAAAGCTTAGAGACTCTGGACAGAATCCTGGGTGTGGGTCCCATAGGCAGCCTAAATACTCACTCTGAGATCAGCAGCATCCCTCGGGCTTCAGGGGCAGTGACGCCACATCCATCACGTTCGGCTTTGCAGATCTGGGGCAGTTTTCTTCTAGCGCTGCTCAGCCTCCTTTTCCTCCTTGGACCAGCATTGAAGGGTGCTCTCTGGTGAGATACACCAGGGTCCTCTGGCCACCCTGAGGAGGGGCTCCTGACCCTGATGTGTTAACCCAATCAAGGATCCTCTACACAGGCTCTAGGGATCCCCCTCATCAGAACTATGTGGGGAGCAGACCCACAGTGCAGATCTGAGGCTCAGGCCTGAGGACTCATACTTAGGGTTCCCAGATAAAATACAGGATGCCCAGTTAAATCTGAATTTCAGATAAACGCCAGATAATTATTTTATACATGTGTGTCCCAGATATTGCAAGGAACCACTTATGGTAAAAGAAGTTATCTGGTGTTTGTCTGAAACTCAGATTTGACTGGTACCGTACATTTTATTTAGGTATTTCTTTATTTATTTATGCAAAATCTGGCAACCATACACTTCCTCCCTGGGAGTGGGGCCTGGGAATACGTATTCACTCAAGCTCACCCCCCAACAGTAGGGAAACCCAAATTTAGAATCGTTTGTATGGAGCACTTATAGAGTTGTTTAGGGGTCAAAGAAAAAGGGATTATGGACCCCCAGGTTTGAACATCCAAGTTTGTGAAGTTTGAGTCAATGTTTCCCTAACATGTCTAATTACAAGAATTTTTCAGGAATGCTCAGTAAAATTACAGGTTCCCAGGCACCCTCCCTGGGAAGTTCTGACTTTCTGGCTTGCCTGTAGTGGGAGGAAGCAGGAGAGGGGGAGAAGGAGGCAGCAAATGATATCTGCATTTTTTTTCTTTTTTTCCATGCCAAGATATTTATTGAAATATCATTTATGGGGCATAAAATTTGAAGCCTAAGTCTTCATCAAAAGGGGGCATTGTTTAACAAATCATAAGGAGTTTGTTTATATAGGGAATTCTGTGCTGCCTTTTAAAAACACAGTTTTATTGATATATAATTAACATACAATAAACTGCACATTTAAATCTGTACTTGGATGGGCTTTGACATATGTGTACACCTATGAAAAATCACCAAAATCAAGACAGTGAATAAATTCTTCATCCTCCAGGGTTTCCTCTGGATCACAGCATGTGTGTGTTTGCTTGCTTGCTCTTAATAGCTTTGTGTGTGCATGCTCAATCTCTGTGTTATCTGACTCTGCAACCCCATGGACCATAGCCTGCCAGGCTCCTCTGTCCATAGGATTCTCCAGGCAAGAATATTGGAGTGGACTGCCATTTCCTCCTCTGGCTTAACAGCATCCAATCTCATTGAAGTACAATTTACATAACATAAACTTCACCCATTTTAAGTGTCCAGTTCAATTGTAGTACCTTTACATGTGCAGCCATCACCACAACCTGCTTTCAGAACATTTTCATCCTTTTCTATCACCCCAAATGTCGGGAAACCTTGGAGGCACTTCATTTTTTAGTTTGCTTTTTAATTTTCAAAATTGTGGTAAAATACAACATTTACCATGTTCACCTTTTTTAACAGTACAGTCCAGTAGCATTGAATGTATTCATACTGTTGTGCAGCCATCACCACCATCCAACTCCAGAACTCTTTTCATCTTCCCAAACTGAAACTCTACACCCATCAAATAAAAACTCCCTCGTCCTTCCTCCCATCCCACCAGTCTTTCTGTGTCTATGAATTTGACTATTCTAGGTACCTCCTATAAGTAGAATCTTACATTATCTTTCCTCTTGTGACCATCTTATTTCACTTAGTGTGATGTTCTCAAGGCTCATTCCAGCTGAATAATGTTTCATGGTACGTATTCACCACATTTTGTTTGTTCTTTTGTCCCATGGCCATTTGCTTCCACCTTTTGGCCATTTCAAGTAAGACTGTTATGAACATGGGTGTACAGATATGGAAGGGGGACTTTATTTTACAAGGTGCTTGTTATATAAGCATGGGAAACAGTGATGACAATCTCTGACCTTGAGTAGATGAGAAGGAAGAAGATGCTTTGTAAGAAGAGAAATCAGTATGGCAGCAGGAGGAATCGCTGACATGGACAGCACTGTGCTAAGCTTATTTCACTGTGCTTTCCCTGTTTCATGCTCACAGCAACCCATGACTTGGTTCTCTCATGATCCCCATTTAACAGACAAGGAATCCAAACCTCAGACAGGTTAAGTAATTTCCCCAGGGTCATACAACTAGTCAGCACGAAGCAAACACTATCCCCACTTGCAGAAAAAGGAAGGGAGAAAACTATTTAGTCTGTTGCTGGCTGAAACAGTAGCCTCAATTGGTTTTCACAAAGAGCAAAGCATACTTTCACGGTCACTCAATTATACATGAATTTTTTTCAATTCTCATTTCTACACTCACTTGAGCCCTGCTTCATTCCTCCAGTGACTGCCTGCACAGGTGTTTCCCTGACTGTGCCCAGGTGACTTTGCAGGACTCTCCCCACATCCCATCTTCTCAAAAA